TGGCTGGCAATTTTTTTCTTTCAAGGTTTTATATATGTCATCCCATTGCCTTCTTTCCTGCATGGTTTCTACCGAATAATCCGAGCTTAGTCTTATTGTTTCTCCTCTGTATCTGACTTTTTGTTTTTCTCAAGCTGCTCTCAGGATTATTTGTTTGTCTTTGGTTTTGGTGAGTGTGATTATGGTATGCTTTGGTGATTTTCTTTTGGGATCTATCCTATATGGGGTTCGTTGAGCTTCTTGGATGACCAGCTTTTCATCTTTCATGATATTTAGGAAGTTTTCTGTCAGCAGTTCTTCAATGATCTTCTCTGTGTTTTCTGTTTTCTCCCCCTGTTCTGGAACTCTGATCACACACAAACTTTTGCTTTTGATTGTATCCCACATAATTCTCAGGGTCTCTTCATTTTTCTTCATTCTTTTTTCTGAGTTTCCCTCAGAGTTGTAACCAAGTGTTTGTCTTCAATTTCACCGATCCTGTCTTCCACCATTTCAAATCTGCTCCTCAGCCCTTCTATGACACTGTCCATTTATGAAATCTTGTTGTTTATCTTTTGGATTTCTAATTTTTGTTATTGTATGATTTCTAGTTGTGAATTTATTTTGGCATTTTGTTCCTGCATTATTTTCCTGAATTCTTCCTTTTTTAGTCTATTTTCCATGAATTTGTCTGTTTTTTCCTCATTTTTGTCTGCTTTTTGCTTCATCTCTTGGATAATTCTGAGTATTAGAGATTTGCATTCCCTATCAGGTAGTTTTAGTGCCTTTTCTTATACTGGAAAGTCACCTGATGTTTTTTTTTGGATGCCTACTGGAACCATCCTGTCCTGTTTTTGTAAATGTTTTGATGTTGTCTACTGTCTTTGGGGCATTCAGTAGTTATGTTTCTTATTTATTGATTATAGATTTGTTTATTTTGTCCTTTTTTTTGTTTTATTTGGCTATGTCTGAGTAGGTGGGCTGTGTGTTCTTCGTTGTTTTCTAGTCTGTGGGCATGATACTTTTCATCTCCTTCTCCAATTGTCAGGGTCAGTCGCTCAGATATGGTACAGCAGGGCAGGTCTAGCTGAAGAGAAGTCGCTGGGATGGGTTGTTTGTGGCACTTACTGTGGCCACCAGGCTGGGCTGGTATTCAGTTCAGGGCAGGTTCCGGTAGGCCATGCCTGGGCTGCTTGGTGGAATGATGTTAAGCACATGGTGCAGGTAGGCAGGATGGAGGGGGGAGATTGTGATGTCTGGAGCTAAGATGGGTATGGGAGAGAGGAGAGAGGAACAGGAGCCAAAAACATACAAACAAACAAGAAAGAGTGCTAGAGGAGCTTGCCATTGGAGTGGAGAGATGAGAGACAATGAAATGGAGAAAAACAAAAAGGAGAAGAACAAAAAAGAGAAAAGAAAAAAATGAATAAATAAAAATTAGAAAGAAAAAAGAAAACTCCCAGGGATCCCACCAGTGTGGCTATGAGGTCTGGGGAAGTTGCTCACAGGCATTGAAGTACAGCCTGGCTACAAGGTGTAGAGGTGTCCCTGCACACCAGGTATTCAGGGGACAGGAAGAGAAGGAAGGTATAGAGAAATGAGACACTGAGTAATGAAGAAAGACAAAAAGGGAAAAAGAGGGAAAAGAAAACAAAATGAATTAAAAAAAGAAAGAAAGAAAGAAAAACCCTCCAAAAACAGAAAAAAAAAAAGACACGAAAAAAGAAATGCGCTCAGGGATCCCTCTGTGCATCTGCTCAAACTGAGGGGGTAGATCCCAAGCCACACAGTACTGCCTAGCTAGAATGGGCTTCCAATTTGAGAAAAGAAAAAGAAAACAAACAGACCATTCAAAACAAACAAACAGATGAAAAGCCCCGGGATCCCACCAGTGTGGCAGCACGGGCTGGGAAGCAGTTTCACAGTCAAGTGGAGTTTCACAGCTTTTCAGGAAGAAGCAAAGATGGCGCACGGAGCCAGGTATTTGAGAGAAAGGAGCGGGAGGTGGTAAGAGGTAAGGAAGAAATCAAAAGAAGCGGAAAAAAGTAACACCAGCAGCCAACAAACGGCACTCAGGGAGTTGGCCAGTGCCGGCAGGTGGAATCCAAGCAGCCGGTGCTTCCTGGCCAAGAGAATGTGGCCGTGGGAAGCAGAGGAGGCTGAGTGGGGGTGAAGAAGGGTGGGGGGGTGGGAAAGTGTATATCACTGGTTACCGGTTGTTCTGTCTCCTGCTGGAAGCTCCGTGAAGCTGCTTTCTCATACCCCGTTTGCTAGTCTCCAGTAGGAGTCCAACATGGCGGATCCATGCTGCGTTAGCTAATGGGGACCTCAGCATGAATCTCTTCTCATTCTCCGTTCTCTGTCAGTTTCTCACTCCATTTGGGGCTTTACTGAGTTCTTTATCTCTTCATTTGATGCTTAGCGTTTCAGGATTGCTGTTTTCTCTGTTTGGCTCAGTTTTTCGGATCTTTGCTGTGGAGGGACAGCATGGCGCTTCTGCCTAGAGCACCATGTTGCCTGGAAGTCCATATGATTTTATTTGTTGCTGAATCATTAAAAAATAATTTGCAGGCAAATTATGACATTCACCCCTAAATCCTTCAGCATGCATCTTCTAATAATAAGGATATTTTCTTACTTAAAAACAGTATCATTATCACACTATGGAAATTACTAATAACTCCCTAAAATCATATATAGTCAATCTGTATTCAAATGTCTCCAAGTGTCACTGCTCTGACAGGGATCACAATAGAGGGTCCCAGACAAACCTGGACAAAAATGTAGAACAAAATTCTAATTCACACAAAAAAAAGACCAGACTTAACTGGTCTGACAGAGACTGGAGAAACCCTGAGAGTATGGCCCTTGAATACCTTTTTAACCCAGTACTGAAGTCACTCCTGAGGTTCACCTTTCAACCAAAGATTAGGTAGGCCCATAAAACAAAATGAGAATAAATGGGCACACCAGCCCAGGGGCAGGGATGAGAAGGCAAAAGGGGACAGGAAGGTGGTAATGGGGAACCCAAGGTCGAGAAGGGGAGAGTGTTGATACGTTGTAGGGTTGGCTACCAGTGTCACAAAGGGGAACTTTGTTTTTGCCAAATGCTGCCCTTTTGGTCTCGTATGGTTGATTGTCCTGAAGGGCACATTTCTCAAAGTTGCTTTGTAGGCCTATCTATTGTTTGGCTGAAAGGTGGTCTCTGGGAGTGGGTTCAGTTCCAGGTCTGAAGGGTGTTTAAGGGCTATAGTCTCAGAGGTTCCACCAGTCTCTATCAGACTAGTAAGTCTGGTCTTATTTATGAATTTGAATTTTGTTTTATATTTTTCTCTCAAGTTGCCCAGGACCTTTTATCGTGATCTCAATCAGAGTGATCGGTAGTGGTGGTCCGGCACCATCTAGTTCTTCAGGTCTCAGGCTAGTGGAGGCTGTGATTCCCGTGATCCATTATTCCTTTGGACTAATTGTTTCCTTGAGTCTTGGATTTTCTTCACTCTTCTTTCCTCCAGATGGCAAGAGTCCAATAGTTGTATCTTAGATAGCTGCTCGCAAGCTTTTAAGACCCCAGTCGCTACTCACCAAAGCAGGATGTAGAGCATTGTCTGTATGGACTATGTTATGCTGATTGACCTGCATGTCCCCCAAGACCCATAGGGTTTTCTAGGCTGTAATCTTTAGGGGAGCAAGTCACCAGGTCTTTCTTCCATCAAGCAGTTCAAATTGCCAACCTTTCAGTCAGAAGCCGAATGCTTAACTGTCGGGCCATCAGGGCTCCTTGGCCTTTGGGTTTATGTACACTCATTGATTTGATCCTCACAGAAAATCTTAGGAGTTAAGAAAACAGTCTCATTCACAGGTGAGGAAGCCAAGGCTTGGGAGAGTGAAGAAACTTGCCTGAAATCACACAGCTAGGAAGAAGGAGGACGAACCACATCACAGATGCACTGGCTGGTATACTGTGGGCTCAGGTAGGGGAGCTCACAAACTGTTTCTTGAATAAATGAATGAACAAACAAGCCCAAAGCCAGTCAGTCTGTGTATATGCATGTACGTATGTGTGTAATAGGGAACATTTATTTAATTTAGCGCTTACTATTTGCCACACCCCATGCTAAGTGCTTTTCCGTGCATGACGTTATTCATTCTCCAATGCCTGGCAAAGATGTGGCACGGAGTAGGCGCACAAGCAGTATTTGTGCAACGAATGAATGAATGGATGGATGGGAATGTGATCTCCATAAATCAGGTGGCCCTCGAGGAACTTCAGCCATCACTTCTGAGAGCCCGGCCTAGGTAAAGAGATGCTGGAGGCTCGTGGGGCCCAAGAGGGCTCAGGCCGCTGCTCTGGGTCATGATGTCCCGAGTCCCGTCGCCGAGCACCCAGGTGGCCTCCCAGCAGGTGAGCAGGCGGGGCCCGCCTGGCGCTTCGGCGTTGTCATCCTCATCTGCCTGCCCTTTCCCCTTCTGGCACGCAGCAGGGCCCCAGCGGGCTCTTCCCGGCCGCGGCCAAGCCAGCCTCCGCCGAGGGGCGTCGGCTCAGAGTCCACTTCCCTGGCAGCGCAGAGGCCAGAAGGTGGGCCCGGCCGGCGCACGCCCACCTGTCGGCCGCGCAGGCGCACGGCGCGCCCGCGCCTGGCCTCCCTGTCTGCGGCGCGACGGCTAGTGCGCAGGCGCGGCGGCCGATGCAAGTGTGTATGTGCGGGCGACAAGATGGCGGCGGCGGGGGAAGCAGCGTGAGGAGTCTGGAGGCGCGCCGAGTCCCATTGAAACGGGCCGCCATGGCCCTCCACAGCCCGCAGGTATCGCCAGCCTGGGCCTCAGCGGGAAGGGGCCTTGGCGCTCGGCGGGTAGGGCGCCGCGTGGGCGGGCGGGCGAGCGGGTGCACCCTGCCCCGGGAGCGAGCGTGTGGAGTGGGGGAGGGCGCCGGGACATGCTGCCCGGGACTAGGCCCCGAGCCTCCGCGCTCCCGCCACCGCAGCCGCGGCCTCCCCCCGGAGCCCGCCTGCGCCCCCAGGCTCCGGGCCAGGAGAGGGGCGCAGGGGCCTGACCGCTTCTCGGAGGGCGTAGGGTGCCGAAGGGGTTAACCTCCAGGCCAGGGCCACGGCGGGAACTGGGGTGTGGTAGGGGCCCCTCTTCGCCCAGTCAGCCCGGCCTTGGTGGGAGACGGGGCAGTCAGAGGGCCTCCAGGGCCTCCTGGAACGAGTGAGCCATCAAGACAGCTCGACATTGCACTCTTTGCCCGAAACAAGCCACAAGGATTTGGGGGTGCTCTTTTCCCCCTATGCCCCAAAAGGTGGCTTTCTTAGCTCGATTGACGACGGAAGGGTGCTCGTTTTCGGGTTGTAAGACTCAGACACTGAGGAGCAGCCTTAGGTTGCTGTTGCAAAGAGAACTCGAAATAAGTCGTAAGGACCGTACTTTAACTTGCGTTTGAGTGACATCTTTTGCACGAGTCCATCTCAGCCATGCTGACACTAACAGCTAACACACCCTGACAGAAGAGTATCCAAAGTTTAGGAGCCGTTTAAAATAATCCCATAGTGGAAAGAAAGAGTAAAAAGAACCTTTCGCTTTTGGCGAGGTGAACGTGTAGGGTTGAGTTCTTACTTCCCACCCCTCCATCCTACCCCCCAAATTATAATTACTCTGGATAAAAATTGGCGTGTGGCGTTCGTTATTTGTGAAGCATGTTTTAGACCGCTGGTTTGTTGAGATCTAACCTCTAGAAATTTATGGCACACTTTTATACCATCTCAATATGCTTTTGTATTAAACATGGGAAAATGAAACAAAGTAGCTATTGGGAAAACTGGTGGTGAGTAAATCATAACCCTGTATAAGCAATTGGTTTTTGTTGCCATTTTGGAAATGAAGTCGATCTGGAATAATTACACATCTTTTAAGATTTCAATAACTATTGCAATTACTAAGGAGCCCTGGTGGCGCAGTGGTTAAGCGCTCGGCTGCTAACCAAATGGTGGGCTGTTCAACCCACCAGCCGTTACGCGGGAGAAAGATGTGGCATGTGGCAATCTGCTTCGGTAAAGATACATCCTTGGAAGTCCTATGGGGCAGTTCTCTGCCCTGTAGGGTCGCTATGGGTAGGAATCCACTCAATGACAGCGGCTTTTTTTTTTTTTTTCTTTTGGTATTGGCAGTTAGTGTATGTTGTGGAATTTGAAACACGGAAACCTTATTTTTAAAAAGTTAAATCTTACAGAAAGTTGCAATTCTGTTAAGTTTTTGGTACTTATTTTGGTCTGTGCAGGACTTTTCCCCGTTAACTGTGTGTTCACTTAATACATTTACTTTTGTAAGTAGTACAATTCTTTGCACACAAAAGGGGCTTCGTAGTTGAGAAATTTTTAGAAATGTGTAATGCAAGTTTTTTTCTTAAGAGATTTGCTTATTGCCCTTCTCTCAATTTAAATATTAATATTCCTCAAACTAAATAAGAATTCCTCAATGTAAAAGTTTACATTAAATATTACTGTAATAATATTGAATGTATACTTAATTATATCAAGTATATATTATATTAAACATAATGCGTATTATATTAAATAATAGTTACATTAAATATTAATGTAAATAGTTTATTGTTAAGATTAGCATGAACAGGTACAAGGTTCATTGTGAACTTATGTGTAACATGATAGTCATAATTTTGAAATGAAGATAACATATTTAGGCATAATTCACTTCCATTGTTTAATAAGCACCTATCACAATGCAGCAGAAGCGACTGAAATGTTAATTAGTGCTGATAATATATAAACTTAATTGTAATTTCATTTGCATTTATTGTCTCAGTACAGTATTTGTTTTATACCCTAATATTACCTATACATATCTTTAGAAAATTGGAGTGGCAAAAGTTAGTTGAACATAAATAAATGTTACCAGCACTTTGGGTTTATTCTTTTAAAAAATATGATTTAAGTGCTTTTAAGTTTTAGCATGGAGAATGCAGGAAGGAAATAGTTTGATTTCTCATGATACAGTGAAATCATATGTGCCAGGATTTAATTATTGGGTCTTGCTTGAGTTGGTCTGAGCATTTTAGTAAATTTGTTTTATTCGGTTTCCTGCTGTCCTGAAGGTTCTACAGCCTTAATGGACATTTATTCATTAATTAACAAATATTGAATGAGCACTTATCATGTGCTAAGCACCATGATATGCATATTACTTGTTTACTGTTGGGAGTAACAACAACAGATAAATGGTACCTGTTGCCATTGAGTCAATTCTGACTCACAGCGACCCTTTAGGAGGAGTAGAACTGCCCCCTAGGTAGGTTTCCAAGGAGCAGCTGGTAGATTCGAACTGCTGACTTTTGGTTAGCAGATGAGCTTTTAACCACTACACAACCAGGGTTCTAAATGAATGGTAAAGGTCCTATTTTAAAATTGGATTGTTAAGATTACAATGTGAAATTTTTTTTGCATAGAGTATAGCTTACGTTGCTATTATTAGAAAATATTGATTGAACCCTGTTCCCCAGATTGAAGTGCAAAACTTGGAACATTCCTAATGCCAGTAACTTTCAACATTTTCACAAGTTCTAAGTGATGAACTTTGACAGTTGGAGTGTAGGTAGAGCTCTAATTTATGAATATTTGCTGTCATGAGTGAACTGATTAAATGATTTGGAATAATTAATTTGAACTGACTGGTTCTGCCGTATACAATAAAACCTGCGAAAGCCGGAACCTGTGTAAGGCAGAAACCTGTCAGAAGGAAAACTCAAATATTTCCCACTAAGTAGAGAGCAGTATAAAAGCGGTGACTGCACCCTGTCAAAGGTGGAAAACTTGCGAGACCTGGAAAAACAAGGCAGTTCCATCAAGTTTGGGCTGTCATAGATTTCACTGTATGTGAAACAATTTTTGTGATCATTGAAGTCATTTGTAGGGAAATCACCAAAATAATGCTGCCTACCTCCACGCAAATTTGTCTGTTGTGCGATTGGTGTCTATTGTGTGGTTGGCTCCTGTCCTTCATCCTCTGCCGCAAGGCTCACCACAGTCTTTTCATTAGTTTGTAATAATGGGACCTGGTAATTATGGGACCTCCAAATAATGTTGTTTGGTGCCATTGAGTCAGTTTCAACTCTTGGCGACCGCATGTATGACAGAACGAAACACTGCTAGGTTCTGTGCTGTCCTTAGACAATTGTTGTTATGAGACCTGGTGATTAGGGGACCTCCAAATAAGGGGGCCCCTCATTTTACACTATCCAACGTACAGCATATGGCAGTGTGACTGTGTTATTGACTATCTGTTTATACTTGACAGCTTTGTTAGTGTTATTATTGAAAAGGATACATTTTTACTGTATTCTCTCACATAGTGAGCAGCTGATATAAGTAAAATTATTTGAAATACTGACTGTTTGGAGATACCAGTTTTCCTTTGCATTAGTGACAGCAAAATATTTAAAAATATCATAAGGAAAACCTAGATATTAAAAGTTTGCTATTTGATGGTTACCTCAGTGGTCATTGACAGTAGTATACATGATCCATGAGCAGGACCTCACCCGCATGTTCTTGACACCGTCTTGTTCCGACCATTGTCTACTGAAATTACATTAATGGTAAGTGGACCCACCTCATTCTAAATTCCACTGTATAGCAGATAGTTGAGAAAGATATCCCAGTGTTCTTATATGTGGAATTGACAGGATTTAACTAATCAGGGCTCCACACAGGAAAACTTAAAGGAGGAAAGGATTACAAAGCATAATAATTGTTACTTAAATGCCAAGCCTAGTGGCACATTTGATTTGTGCTTTGCTTAGAATAAAATGATTCAAGAAATTTCCTTACGTTGTATCATCTCCACTTGAATTAGTTACATCAAGTTTTCTTGTTTGTGTTTTTTATAAATTTCAGACATGTAAGTACTTCTATCAATGGATCTGTTTTTGTTTTTTTCTTGTGCTTTATGTGAGAGTTTACAGCTCAAGTTAATTTCTCATACAAAAATTTATACACATATTGTTATGTAACACTGGTTGCAATCCCTGTAATGTGACAGCACACTCCCCCTTTCCACCCCAGGTTTCCTGTGTCCATTCAACCAGCTTGGATCTGTTTTTTAAGTGCTACATTAAATGAGGTTGCTGAGGACATTTCTTACTGATAACATACTAAAGTATGAAAAATAGTGGGAAGAGCTTGCTTTTGAATTTGTGATTAGGCTGTTGTATTTCTGTTTGCTGCCACGCATGCAGGGATCACTGTCACACAAAATAGATAAATCTGTTTGCAGTGAAATTTACTGGCCTTGGGCCATTGGATTACTGTCCTTTGTCACTTTAGTGCTACTTCAGCAGTGTAGCTGTTCATTTCCAGAGACTTACATATGCTTGTTCCGCAGTTTTCTGTTTGTTGAAATGGTGTGCCTAACAGTCTTTCATTTCTGTTAATACAAGGCTGGATTAAGAACTAGTATAGGTAAAATAAAGGTAGACCATAGGATATGTTTATAGCATTTGGTTAAAAGGTTCAGAAATTGTAGAATTCATCATAAGCCAGATGTGGAATCTTCAGTAGATAGACTTTTCATGGGCTGGCTGTTTTCTATTTGAAAGCTCCTCAGCCATGACCCGATTTTCAGCAAAAGTCCTGAGAAACTAGTACGTCTAGGTACCACCCACCCCCATCTTAAAACATAGCATGTTCATATCTATCCATCCCACCTCAGTTCTTTGTTCTGATTGCCTTCTCCTGGGAATAGGGTAGGTGAGGTGTAGAGCTAGAATTGCGTTTTGGGGATTGGGGAGAAGGGT